AATAGCTCCCCCCCAAAAAATTTTTTTATTTTTCCTTCCCCAAACCCCAAGTTTTTTGGCTTACCTTTGCAGATTATCTTCCCACCCTGGTGCGGGTCTCAATTTTGTTTCGGGGTGTCCTTTAAGTTTTTTTGGGTCTTGGCCATATGGATTTTTGGATGTTTTTTTGAAGTTTGGGGACTGGTCTTTTATCGATAAAAAGTTAAAAACAGTCCATTAATCAGGTAACGAGGGGGGGACAAGGAGCCTTTTAAAAAAAGTTCAGGTCTTTGAGGCCAGAAATCTTCTTGTTTGTAGGTACCAATCTTTTTTCCCCTAATTTGAAAATAAATTCAAAAAACCTAAAATTGATTTTCTGGATTTTTTTTTTCCTCATTTTCTTCATATTGACGTTGCCTATATAAAATTTAAAAAGGGCCTCTCTCTTTTTTTTAAGGGGGAGAACATGCAAAATTGGGGCTGAAAATACTTTTCCCCCCCTGTAACTGAACAAAAATAAAAAGCAACTGAAAAGTGTTTGGTTCCATATCTAAGTTTTTCTGGGGAAGCTTCAAGTGACAAGATGTTTAAGAAAAAATAAAAACAAAACACTCTCACTTATCTTTTCCTACTAGCATGATTTTGCTGAAAACTTCCCTTTATTTGGGGAAAAGGTTGGGTTTTATTTTCAAAATGTATCCATTAAGTTCATTCCCTGCCCATTGAAAACAAATGTACTTTTGGATCCCCCAAAATCAAAACGATCAATTACTTTCATTTTTTTGTTTTCTTTTTTCCTTTTTAGAAATCAAATGTATTTTTACCAATTTGAACAAAATTTTTTGGCAGGATAAATAAAAATGTTAATTTAAAACGGCCAAAAAAGGGTGTTGCATTTTACTTTAGGGGTTTGGGTTATGTGGCTTCTTCTAAACCATTTTTTTCATACAAAAAAATATAAAATTAGCTATATCTCAAAAATTAAAAACCAAAAGCTGTCAATTTCCAGTCATTCCAATTCAAAAGGGGATTTGGAATAGCCAAAAAACCCATTGGAAGACAAAAGTTTGGACGTTTTAAAAAACCTTTTTCCCCTGCCCTTTTCCCGGATCCATCAAACACTTTTTGGTGTTCTCAAGTAAATCTTCTATGACGTCTAGACTCCCCCAGACTAACAAACTTAAAATTGCAACTCTTTTCATTGCTGATTTGAATGTCATTGAGAAAAAATAAGGTGTTAAATACATTAAAAGTAATCCTATAAGTAATTAGATTTTCATCTGATTGCAATATGTTTTGCTAGTAATGTAATGGATTACCTGTTGCAGTTGGCAATCCCTTACTCCCCAACCCCTGATTGGGGGAACATGTACTTACTATGACATGTGGTTGTCTCACCAAAAGTTATCTTAAAATGGAGGCATTAACTGTAAGTCTCTCTGGATATAAGCATCTGCTAAATTAAATGTAAGTGTAAATGTAAAAACTGTCCAAAACAGGTGTTATGACAAGTTTCTCTGGTTCGAGTACTTCAGGATGTAAGAGAATAGTTAAACCTTAGATGGAGAGTTGGTTCATAGTTATTTATTATTACAGTACTGGATTTCCATGACAAGCGGTACGGGCGTAGCCTATTGTCATCTGAATGATAGGCATACAAAATCTCTCAGTTTATATAAAGCTTTGCAAGCTAATTCCATCCAACAGTTGCCAACCATTATTGAGTGTCACTCATCACCTACAATGGGATCCCCCTACATGTGATGAGGTGTGAATGATGGAGTCAGGCGCAGGAGGTAAAACACAGAAATCAAGAGTTTATTCAGTGTTACAATAATGTAGCGCATATAGCGACAGAACGAAACTAGCACAAGGGAAAATCAACCTTGGCTGCATACAAGTAAAGAGTAGCTCAACCGAGCTACTCACTCTCACAACGAACAATCACTCACAACGGACAAGGGGGCAGAGGGAACATTTATACACAGACTAATGAGGGAATGAGTAACCAGGTGTGTGTGATTGACAAGACAAGACAATACAAATGGAGTGATGATAAATGGAGCGGTAGTGGCTAGTAAGCCGGTGACGACGAATGCCGAAACCTGCCCGAGCAAGGAGGAGGGGCAGCCTCGGCTGAATTCGTGACAGTAGCCCCCCTTAAGAGCGTTGTGCCAGTAACCGAAAGGTCGCTGGTTCTAATCCCCGAGCCGACTAGGTGAAAAATCGGTCTATGTGCCCTTGAGCAAGGCACTTAACCCTAATTGCTCCTGTAAGTCGCTCTGGATAAGAGCGTCTGCTAAATGGCCAATTATTATTTATTATTATTTGACGCGCAGCTCCACAAGCGCGCCGACACCGACCTCGGAGACGGCCAGGAAGACGCGGAGCAGGGCAAGCCGGATGGCGATGATGGAAGTCCCTCAGCAGAGAGGGATCGAGGATATCCCTCACCGGGACCCAGCACCGTTCCTCCGGACCGTACCCTTCTCACTCCACGAGGTACTTAAGGCCCCCCACCCCGGCGCCTCGAATCCAGGATGGACCGGACAGAGTATGCCGGCGCCCCCTCGATGTCCAAAGGAGGTGGAGGGACCTCCTGCACAGTCCATTTTTACAATAGTTCTATTTTATTTGTTTTTACTCCTGAACTTCCTCTAACCCTCAACCTCTCCGCTCATTTTCATGATGTCCATCTGGTTTGCTTCTATATGCCATATTTTTCAAACTGTGCTCTTTCACAAAAGTTCTCAACCTATATAATTATTATGGACACAGTATGTTATACATTAGTTATCTTGTTACTAGTTGTTATTAGTCCCAACCTTGATCCAAACCAGTCAGGTTTCAAGACTGGTCATTCAACTGAGACTGCTCTTCTCTGTGTCACGGAGGCTCTCCGCACTGCTAAAGCTAACTCTCTCTCCTCTGCTCTTGTCCTTCTAGACCTGTCTGCTGCCTTTGATACTGTGAACCATCAGATCCTCCTCTCCACCCTCTCCGAGTTGGGCATCTCCGGCGCGGCTCACTCTTGGATTGCGTCCTACCTGACCGGTCGCTCCTACCAAGTGGCATGGCGAGAATCTGTCTCCGCACCACGTGCTCTCACCACTGGTGTCCCCCAGGGCTCAGTTCTAGGCCCTCTCCTATTCTCACTATACACCAAGTCACTTGGCTCTGTCATATCCTCACATGGCCTCTCCTATCATTGCTCCGCAGACGACACAACTAATCTTCTCCTTTCCCCCCTTCTGATAACCAGGTGGCGAATCGCATCTCTGCATGTCTGGCAGACATATCAGTGTGGATGATGGATCACCACCTCAAGCTGAACCTCGGCAAGACGGAGCTGCTCTTCCTCCCGGGGAAGGACTGCCCGTTCCATGATCTCGCCATCACGGTTGACAACTCCGTTGTGCCCTCCTCCCAGAGTGCGAAGAGCCTTGGCGTGACCCTGGACAACACCCTGTCGTTCTCCGCTAACATCAAAGGCGGTAACCCGATCCTGTAGGTTCATGCTCTACCACATTCGGAGGGTACGACCCTGCCTTACACAGGAAGCGGCACAGGTCCTAATCCAGGCACTTGTCATCTCCCGTCTGGATTACTGCAACTCGCTGTTGGCTGGGCTCCCTGCCTGTGCCATTAAACCCCTACAACTCATCCAGAA